ACCTAACAATCATGGCATCATATTTAACGGACGCTACCATAGAAAAAGGACGCTTCTTTATCTTCTGTGTTCGGCAGCAGTGTCAGACGTTTAAATAATTTCAGAAAGCTCATCAAAATGGCGGTTATATTATTAAATCTTTAATACTTAATTAATTAGTATACCTAGTTTACCTATTTAACATAAATGTGGTGAGTAATTATTTTAAATTTATTTAATTTATTTATTAAAACTTAATAAAGTATGGAAATATATTTCGTTTAGTTATTTTGCTTATAACCGGCAACACTGAAGATTCTCAAATTCAGCGCGTGCGTACTACTATGAAATACAATAATAAACAAAAGGGACTTTTTTAAGTAATTTTTTATGGTATTGCAGACTGTCATAGTCATATTATTAACAGAAATAATATCTACCTAGGTAAAGTGAACATTTCAAAATTAAAAATTTCGTAGCTCTTGGCAAAAAATCAATTTATCGTAAAGTTGTTTTTTTGGCATATGCCAGTTCTCAATTAAACCATCACAAAATCCCACATTTATACATAAAAGTATATATACAAGATATCCATATCAGTTATCCACTGGATATCCAGTGGATATCCAGTGGATATACATTAGATGTACTTTAGGTGTACTTTAGACATACATTAGTTATCTATTGGATATATATTAGAGATACTTTGTTGAAATTGTTTTAATAACGATTTAAATCATATTTATTAATCATTACATACATTTATCCTATTTTAAAAAAGAAAAAAATAGTTTTAATGTTTTTGTTTTTTTTGAACATCCAGTATGGATATCCACTGGATATCCAATGGATATCGTAAAAGGCATGGATGTTATATGGACATTGGGATAGCCATTGGATATCCATTGGATAGCGTGTTCTGTGTGGGACTGAACCGTTGAGGGTGCACGCTCAAATTTCAGAGAACACTGAATAGTTGAGTATAAACACTTAAGTTTCAGAGTACACCCAGAATAGTTGAGTATAAACACTCAAGTTTGAAGGTTAATACTGAATTGTTAAGTGTATACACTCATATTTGAGAGTTTACACCCAAGTTTGAGGGTTAACACTGGATCGTTAAGTGTATACACTCAAATTTGAGAGTTCACACTGAATAGTTGAGTATAAACACTTAAATTTGAGAGTTAACACTGGATTATTAAGTGTATATACTCAAATTTGAGTTTAAACACTTAAATTTGGGAGTAAACACTGAATTTTGGGTGTAAACACCCAAAATTTGAGAGTTTTTTTGACAAGGGACTACTCACTAATAACCAGGGACTTGTAACGCATTTCTGTTACGATATCGTATTTCAAGTAAGGATCTAAACTAAATTGAATCGAAACATGCGCCCCTGAAAATGATTAGGTACTAAACTTTGAGAAATAATACTTAATAGCACCAAAACGAGTAAATAAATCGTGATAACGGTTAGCAAAATCGTAATCGAAACTGTTTATAACGAAAATTGCAGGTGCGCAACAACTACCGAAATACGGGATATAGAAACGAAACTGGTAACACTAAGTAACGAAATTGTAACCAAACGCTGAATTTTAAAAATCTTTTACAAAATGTACATTAACACAAAGTCTTGGTAAAAATATTCGTGATCCGTCTACTAGCTGTCAAGCTGTCAAGTATTGTCAAGAAAATTCATATTGGCTAAAAATTTGAATAAACAATATTGTACAATATGTATTATATTAATATAATATATATAATAATAGTATATTTATTAAATATATAATAGTATATTTATTAAATATATATTTCTTGCGGTAACTGAATAAAACATATTTTGCGATTTTTGGCGTTTTACTTACTAACTTCATGTTCGAGGAATCTCCTCTTTCTCCCAAGAGTCGCCTAATAATTACAAAATTATAAAGGTATTGTATAAGTAGGTACTAGGGGTGTCAATCCCGAGCCCATTTTCCAATCCCGGACCTTTCGGGACCAAAGGTAACTAATCCCGGGATCAGTCCCGAAAAAATATATATCATTAATTTTAAAACCAATTAAAATAAAACAACAAACAAACTAACGAACGATATCTTTCGGACTCCACACTAGTCGGAAGAATGGTTAATAGTGTTTTTATCAAATTCTTTGAAAATGGTAGATAGTCTTGCAGCAAACCAGCGAAGTGTTACTTATCATATTAGTTTTTTTAATATAACTTCTACTATGGTAGTCTTGGAAAGGTGATATTTTGCGAACAGTAACTTACTACTAAAACACATATTCACACATAATTACAATTGTTTGAGTGAACACAGTGTCGTAGAAACGGGGGTTGCTTTAAGCTTATTGTCCCATATAAACTTTGAGGTTAGGTTTTTGCAACATTTGATGCAATTTTTCGATTACATAGTTCGGCTACCATTAAAAAGGTGTACCTCTCAAACTTAGATAAAATAAACCGTTTCCGAGATATTCGAGATTACAATAATTGTTATCGCATTATTTAAAAGGATTAAAAGGTATATGAAAACAAATTTTATTTTTTAATTGAAAAAACTAAAAAGGGCATTCCATGAGCCTTGGGACTTTTTGCCCTGATCGTCACATTAAAAACAATTGTAGTAAAGAAGTACACACCTTAATCAATGCCGAAACGCTACCAAAAGAGCAGACGTCAGTACGCATCGACAATCAGCGCCGCTGGTGGTGAAAAAAAGACTTAATTTGTGCATGTTTTGTCAAGTTCGGGCTCCTTGTGTAGGCTTCATGGCTATTTCGTACTAATATTTGTTATATGGTACTAATCTAACTTATTTTGGGTAAATTTTCACTTTAGTGACTTTTCCGAAAAACGGGAAGAGGGTTGCCAAAATACAAAAAATAGTTGTGGATGGATGTAAAAGTGCATAAACAATCGACGCGTCGATTGTTTATGCACTTTTACAACCCTGCGTCGCGACGCAGGGTAAAAAAGTTGTATAATTTTCGCGTTATAATAAAAAAAGGGGCCGATAATTGAAATGACTTACCTTGATTTTCTCTGAAAAAAAATGTTGCAAGCCAAAAACATATATATAATAGACGTAGAATTTGAAAGTGGACTTGAAAAAAGCTTGAAAAATTAAAAACAATGTCAGAAATTGCGGAAAATGGAATTTAAACGCTGAATTTAAACGCTGTGACTAGAGGCACGCTAACGTGCCGCGATTCGAAATGTTAAAGGCACGTTAGTTACGTCATAAACCCAAACCATCCCAAACTCAACAACCCAACACAACCGACCCCGCCCCATTGAGCAAAACACCCAACTAAAATGGGCAAATTTATGTTACGACAAAAATTAAACACTTTTTAACAAAGGAACAACAAATTTATAAAATAAAAAAAAGTTCTACAACTTCTAGTAGATTTTATGTTACGATAAAACCATAGATGACTAAAACAAACCAACCAACCCAACCGAACACTGTTTAACAAAGAAACAAAAAATTTATGAAATAAAAAAATTCGACAACTTTTTAGTATCGAACCCGGGACCTCTCGCATGCCAAGCGACCGCCCTACCATATGATCCATCTAGCTTGATGTCAAATATTAAACGCTGGGGGAACAAAAACGGATTATAATTATGACGTAACTAATGTGCCTTTAACATTTTCAATCGCGGTACGTTAGCGTGCCTCTAGTCACTGTGATTTCTTAAATAAGGTAATTTAAGGTTATGACGATTAGCTGTCATCTTGGTTATGCAGGTTTGCAATCCAGGGTTGCCATAATGTTTTACACAAAATAATACCAATTTCAATCGGAGTTGGATAATTATACCATGAAAAAAATAAACTTTCTTTATTTTAACCTGATTTTTATTGCATGTACTAATGCCATATTTTTTTTAACTAAACCAATCCAACCCAATACACTGCGCGCGTGGAATTGTGCTCAGGCACTGTCCTGACAAATTTCAACTGCCAAAAATGCACAAAGTCTAAAGTTTGATTTTAGCGCCTTTTTATATGTAGAGCAGTATGGCAACGCTGTATTGTGATTCTGCATAACCTCAAATTACCTGATTTTAAAAATTTAATTTTCCGCAATTTATGACATTGTTTTTCATTATTTGTGCTTTTTTCACTCCCACTTTCAAATTCTACATGTATTAAATACCTACCTGTACCCTGCGCCGATTGTATATGCACTTTTAGATCCCTCCACACCTATTTTTTCCATTTTGGCAATCCCCCAGCGTTTTTCGAAAAAGTCGCTAAAGTGTAAATTTAATCTTTTTTGGGAGAATCTAACCAATTTTGTGTAAACGGTTTAATTAATAAGAAAAATATTTCGATTCTAATTACCTACCAAAGTAAGCCATATATCTAAAACTTTAAATTTTAGAAACATTAAGTAAGCACTTTCTTTAAAATACCTATTATTTTTTATTTTAAACACTATTAAATTACGTTATTTTTTGTATGAACGCAAGTTAATTAAATTAAATTACTTTTAAAATTAAATTAACTTATAGGTATTACGTTATTTCTGTTAGTTAGAAGTTCTAACTTAGAACCCAGCTTTGATCAAGTCTTCTTATACTTAAATTATTTATAAATTATCCAGTGTTTTCGCGGTGCTAATCCCGAACTAGTTCGGACATCCTAGGCATGCGCATTTTGATATCTGTCAGGCGCACTTTACAATTTGAACGCCAAATTTTAAAAAGCGCATGCCTGGGATGTCAGAATTAGTTCGGGATTAGCTCCGCGAAAATAGCTATAGACTATTAAAGTTTATGCATATTCGTAAAATCATTATAGGCAACTCAGTATACCTGCAAAAGCAATGCCATATGGTTTATTTAGGTGGTATGTTTTTCTTTAATATGTGATGGCATGAAGGTATATTTATTTGACATTTGAGAAATATTTTATTTTTGACAACTGTCAAGTTATTTCTTAGTTTGTTAACTTTAATTTAGATGGCTGATATTTTAAAATCTGACAGCTGTCAGATTGTTGATTATTGCCTAAATTATTATTTGCCTGTGCTAAACCGGTAAATATGAGTTCAGTCGATGGAAATTTGTGTGAAAAAGTGGAAAGCTCAACAAATGAAAACTTTAACAATGAAAGCACTAATTATAGTGCTGGCAAAAGATTTCCCGGAAGATACAATAGAAATAAAAAATGGAATTCAAGGCCCGTAGGAAATTTCAAGGAGGATAAGGGACCAAACGAAAAATTTAGAGAAAAATTAGAACAATTACGTGGAAATACATTTGATTTACCACCCGTAGATCTTGAGGAAAAGAAATTTTCTGGAAGAAATCGCCTATACATCGGAAATATTGGTAATGAAATTACCGAAGACGATTGTAAGGGTCTGTTTAGTCCTTATGGCGAAATCAATGAGCTATTTCTAAATAAAGAAAAAAGTTTTGGATTTGTAAGGTTGGATTATTACACAAATGCCTTGAAAGCAAAACGTGAACTTGACGGGGTATTGTTTAAAAATAGGAATTTAAAGATAAGATTTGCTCCAAGCACAGCCACTATAAAGGTTAAGAACTTAAGCTTGCAAGTTTCAAATGAATTGTTGCATCATGGTTTTCGCGTTTTTGGAGAGATTGAACGTGCAGTTATTTGTGTGGACGAAAGGGGTAAGCCAACAGGAGAAGGAATTGTGGAATTTATAAGAAAAGGAAGTGCCACCTATGCCCTAAATACGTGTAGAGAAGGTTGCTATTTTTTAACTGCCAGTTTACGACCTTGCATTGTGGAACCTTTTGACATTATAACCGACAATGATGGCTACCCGGAAAAGCACATGATTAAAAGGAATAATGAATATAATGTTGAACGAGAAGTAGGTCCTACTTTCGCAGATCCTGGCACTTTTAAATACGAGTATGGCAAAAAATGGAAGCAACTTTTCGACCTTTTTAAAGAAAAAGAAGACGCTTTAAAAAAACAATTTCTTATGGAGGTAGAAAAGCTTGAAGCACAATTAGAGTATGCCAAGTACGAGCAAGAGACTGAAATGCTCAGGGAGCAGCTACGTTACAGAGAACTGGATCGAGAACGCCAAAAACGTGAATGGGAAATGAAAGAAAAACATATGGAAGAGCAAAGACGCAAGATTGAAGAAAACATTCGCATGCAGCAAGAAGAAATTGAGAATTCCATGAGAATTCAGGAGGAGAATATTAGAATGAGGCAACAAGAAAACAAATTGTTTTTACAGAAACACAGGTACAATCAAGGTTTCAATAATGCTGATGTTGATGTTGATAACAATAGTCTTCCTGATTACGGTTCCTCATCCAAGCCTTTATTAGAGGAATTTGATCAAAATATCCAAACTGCAGTTTGTAATGACCAGTATCCTGGATACTGGGTTAAAAATGATGCTGATAAATATCAGAAAAAGAGACGGTTTATGTGAAAAGTTTGTTTTTGTTGAAGGCTGAAAAATCGTTTAAAATATAGGAATTTTTATTTTAAATTTCAATTTTGAAATATTGAAATTATAAATATCCTAATAAGAATAATGTTATGGTTTCTGTATTATGTATTAAATAAATGTTATTTATAATTTAAAGTACAATATCATTTATATTATATAAATACTTAATTATATGTAATATAATAGTTTCTGCCTATTATAAAAAATTTTAAATACCCTAAGGGTTTTTAAAAAGAAACTTGTATGTATGTATGTATTAAATTGACTTCGTACGACTAAGCAAGGGCGTTGCCAGCCAATGGGCCAGGGGGCCAGATGATAGAGGATATTTTACATTTTTGTAATTTAAAAGTTTTGCGATTGATTAAAAGAAAGGAAGTTAATTTTTTTTAAATTTATCTATAAAATGTGCATTGTTATAAGTAGTACTAATACGAAACAAAAACCTTTATTGTTTTGGCTCACTTTCAAACTTAAGCTTAAAATTTTTATGGTTTTAACAATCATAAACATTAAATTTTGTATACCAAAATTTGAGTCTTGAGTTGCTCTTTCATAATAACTATGTTATAATATTACATAGGGCTAAGTTTCAAAAATAAAAATTAAAAACTGGGTGTGCAAAGTTACCCCCTGGTTGCGGGTTACTTTGTCTCACAGTGTATTTTCCGTATAAAATGAATTCAATATTATATTTTATTTTTATTAGACACGTGTTAGCCGCTACATATATCTATTGCAAGGAAATACAAATAAAAAAAATAAAAAATCGACCTGTAGTTATCCAAGGATAATCATTTCAATGGATTGCGCATAATATAGAAATTTTAACGCGTGTATTTCTAAGAGTTTTGCACTGATGCGATATATACAATTTTAAAGTGTAATAAATCCCATTTCTTTCTTTAAAACACTGATTTTCCTGTAATATAAACTCAATAGAATCGCTCAATTGACAGGTTAAGACCAACAAATTATAAATGTTAATTTTATAGAGCGCGAAAAGATTTTTCATAAATGGGTTAAAGTCACCGGCGGGGTGCAAAGTCACCCGTATTTACGGTAACGAAGGTTATTAAATATCACCGTAACAATGTTTTTTTGTTAAAACAATAATCGTTTTTGTTTCCCAACTAAATTATTTTTCTAGGTATTTTTTGGAAATGTAGAAAAAGTACCTACAGTTTGAAATACATTTGAAATTACATACCTATTCCGCTCTCGTGAAACCGTCAAACTCGCCTTCGGCTCGTGTGACAAACTTTACACTCGCGCGGAATATGCCGTATTACAAACTCGTTACAGAATAGGTATACTATTCTTGCAGATATCATGCTACTGACGGGCAAGGTTTTAGACTTTCAACTTGTTGCAAGAAATGTGCCAGCATCCTATTAAAGGCAACGCGTTTCCTTTAGGTTTTCCAGATACTTTGGCTATCTGGGAAGTTTATTACGAGCGTCTTGCATTGCCTTAGAATTGCGTCGTGTAATGGGGCTTTTAAAAGTGTTTAAACTTTTATCATGGATTGTGAACCAGGGGGTATTTATTTATGCATTTTGAATATATTTAATTTTCTTTAAGCACAAAAATTAGAATAATAATAATGTATAAATTAAAATTTTAATTATAATTGATCTAATTAAGCTATACCTACAGTTACAAATTCATTAGAACCAGACAACTTTGTCCAGTATAAAATATAGTGACATATATATCTCAGCCTAATATCTGTTTTAATTTTCTTTGCTAATATGTGCTACCCTGCTCTCTAAAAATGAATTATTCAAAAATAACTAATTACTACAGTTATTAGTGGCTGCTTTCTCACCTATACCCCATGGAATAGCATATCCCTGATATAATAGATAATTCTTAGGTAAAATTGTCCCCTGAATCCGGAAACACTGTCAAAAATTATAAAAGTAGTGCAGTTTTTGAGATATAGGTAGTCAATTCTATATTATATGGAAAATTAACTATATCTCTAAAACTGTTTTACTTTTAAAAAACTTATAAATAAGTTTTGACGAACTTTGGATTCAGCGGACAATTTTACATAAGAACTGGCTATTACATCGGTGATACCATGCTATCACATGGTATACCATGGTATAAGTGAAAAAGCAGCCACTAATAACTGTAGAAATTAGTAATTTTTCTTGGTTAATTTACACACTTTTGTTTATTGGAAAATGTCTTTTAAGTTTATGGATATTGTGACTTATTTGGTGATTGATTGTCTTGCTCATCTATAATCCCGTGAATGACAGCGATAAGATTTGGGACGGCTTTGATTTATTGTTTTTTTTTGTATTGTTTTGTCACTACTGCAGTATGTCTTATTATCAATGTCGCTGATAATCTTTGTTTAATATTGTTTTATGTTTGTTTTATTTTTTAGGGTTTTATTAGGGTTATGTTTAAGCGGAAAGAACCGCTCTTAGGGTTGTGTAGGTATCTGACCGAGGTTAATGTTGCAAATTTACGTATACGTGTATTGAAAAGTAGGTACTCTTAACTAATACATTAGTTAATAGTACCTACTTATCAAATGTTTGAAGATTATGGTCTTTCCACTCTTGGTTAGCCTCGTTTCTTCTTCACATAGAATGCTTTATATTGTCAGGTGGTTCGTCCGCCAGGTATACTGTCAGTTATCACTTTACACTATATTACTTCCGTGACCGTAATATAGCATTTAATTCACTTTAAGTGTAAATGTTTGTATTGTAAACGTGTAATGTATTTCGATATGTTGTTGAATGTTGAGCATAACCATAAATCCAAATATGAAAAAATCTTAATTTGTATGTCGTCGGGTAAGGTTTTTACTTTGTAAAAAATGGGTTTTGGGGGGTTGATTATGATTTCGATATGAGATTACGAAAATTCAAAATGGCGCCCTTGGTGGTGTAGTAGTCAGCAGTGCTGACTCAGCACTGCAGTGAGGCAGCACCTCATGAGGAATACAAGCCGAGAGGTCGTGGGTTATTTTTGTTTGTGTATTCCTGCCTGTTGGAAGCACATTAAAAAACTTTAAATAAATGTGAGTGAATTTGCATGCATTAAAATATATAAGAGTCTTTAATAATGATTTTGATATTTGATTTTGAAAATTTAAAATGGTGGACCCAAAATGGCGGGTATAATAGGTATTTTTTAGGTTTAACATTTATGGAGAGAAATGTGATTAGTCCATGAAATTTATATGGAAACAAATTAGGTATACCCATGATATATTAATATATTACTCTTACAAGAAAATTACGCTGTAAAAAATACCAAAATAACTGGAGATCAACAAAAACAAGCAAATGCGGAAAGATTTGTTTGATATTTCAAATACAAGATAACGTGGGCATAAAATGCTTTGGGAAGTTGTGGACATCCACAATTTAAATAGCATAATTGGTTAATATTTATCAATTACTTACGTTTTAAGATATAAAAATGGCCGTAAATTCATCAAATATTTGTTAAAAGACTATTTTTTGCGAATTGTTAAAAAAAATTGCAAAAAAAAATTTTCATTAAAAAAATTGAACTTTGATGACTCCTACTGGCGAACCACTACGAGTTACACAAAAAAACACAAAGACAATTTTGAAGAGCGTGAAATTCCCTATAAGGTCCATAAAACCGATTCACAAAATTGTAAAAAGCGGGCGAGCATTGGAAATTTGAAAAAAAACAACATTTTTTTTACATGCATTTTAAATGGGAAAACTTTAAATTTAAACTGCAAGTACTTAAAATTGATATTAAGAGCTCTACCGTGGTGAAATTTTTTTTTTCTACAGGTAGATTAATATTTTGCTTGAGCACCGAAAAAAAAAACTTTGCGGAAATGAATCACCCTAATATATATATATATATATATATATAATAGGGTGTTTCAAAATAAGGCAATATTTTTCTTTTTTCAAGTTCATGTAAAATACTTGTCACTTATGCTGAAAAAAAAATTCTGTCAAAATCTGAGCTCATAAAATTAATTTTAAAAGGTCCATCTTCGAATTTAAAGTTTCTCCATTTAACATGGAAAAATAGTTTTTTAAGATTTATTTCGCCTGCATGCTATGCATGTTATGTAATTAATGTTATATATTAAAATGGGTTGTTCCTTAAGGAATTAATTAGGGTCCATAAAGAAGCACCTGAAACTTTTTTTTTCTAAATTCCAAAGTCTAAAAATAATTTATAATAACCTTTATCCAACCAAAAAGTACGCCACTGATCGACTAGGAACTTTAGGTTAATCTGGTGGATTTATTATGTTATGGTTGGTAACAGTGTTTCCAAAATCTCTCAAAAAAGTTGACAAACATTGTTTAAATTTAGCTTAATTACAAAAATGACAAATTAACAATGCAAATTGTCAATTTGGCGTTTTTATTAATTGTTGATTATGTCATTTTTGTATGTACTGAAGGTAAATTCAAACAAAATCTGCCAACTTTTATGACAGAATCTAGTGCATTTCTTTTAAATTTTAGGTTATGTTTTCAAATTGTAAATATCTTAACTAAGGGAAGTGCTTTTGGATTTATTTACACAAATTAAATGTTTAAAGTTTAACCTGTGAACTGGTCCCAATTTCATCTGAGTAAACAGAGAAAAAACTGATAAAAAAATTAATTTTGTGGTTATGGATTTCAAATTTAAAAGGTACTAAATTTTCTAATCATTGCTTAAGCTAATAGCTGGATCAGTAAATAAATACAGAAGGGTATTAGAGCTTTAAGGGCATAAAACTTTTGTATTTATTGAGTTTTTATTTATTTTTTGCAAGAAAAATTTTTAGTAACAATTTTTTACATCTGGCAACGCATAGCTACTTTGTTGGTTGGTATCTATGTACTCACAAAATACAAGTGTGCAGAGATAAACTAAGTGTGTAACCAGTGGCGTATCACAAAAAATATAAAAAACTTCTAATGCATATTTTTTCTTTATCTTTAGAAAAATGTTTTTTT